CGCAGGGTTAGATACAGGAACACTCAAGGCTGAGACAATGCATACATGCAGCATGATTTTATACAGGAACCGAATCACTGCGCAAGTTTTCAACGAACACAATTTTTCAACGAACACAGACTAGTGTCAGCAGACTGTCTTCAATTAGAGGAAAGGACTAAAATGCAAATATAAAAGTCAAATCAAGAATAGTTCATAAATTGTGGCTGGTTAACTTCCACTGCCAAGATAGGAATTACAAAAAAAAAAAAATCTAGTGAAGCTAAATGAGTAGAAGTTCCTTCTGCTGTTCTGCATTACTACAACACTCATCTTCCTGAGTTTCAGTCACTTGCCTTGGCTGAAGATGGCGTTTCTGAGGGAGCCTGAGTGGGTTCAGTGCCTCTTGCTTTGACCACGGCTATATTCATGTTCTTTTTACCAAGTAAATTGCTGTCTTACTGGTGTTGGCAAAGGACCCAGAGAAGGTGCACCGTACCAAACAAGTGAAGGTTAATCTATAGTCAAGATGGCTTTGACTATCAGGATTTTTATTTCACATAACTCGTCTATTTTTATCATTTCCTCCAGTTGCTAAGAAAATTTACAAGAGTTTTACTGTAATTGAAAAACTCATTTACTGTACCTCTTCTATTTTCTTAGGAGAAGCTTCACTTTTATTACTTTTGAATTCTTCATTTATCTTTATTCTGGCTGCTACAGAAAGAAAAATATATATACAGTTATTTGCTTTTCTAATTTATAATTCTGTCCCGATAATCTACATGTTATGCATTATGAATGACTACTTCACTAGTAGAGGAAATTGTTTTGCCCCACGTAAAACAAAGTATAAAAATAAGAAACTTATTAAAGAAGTCTTTTGGAGAGCTTTTGATAGGCTGGCAAATTTGGAATTAAACCAAATATAAACTTTTAGCTCTCTAAAACTTTTGTTTCCTGCTTTTCACTTCCAATTTCATTTGTATACCTCTAGCTATTAGATTCTAATAAATCCAATGTGATGCTTTGTTTCTATAAATCTAAGGATTTAAATTAAAATGCTATTTTTAAGATGGCAAAACTCAATACATACAAGCATGTTAAACCACATACATACACAAAGATATAGCAACCTTGAGTGCCTTGGCTGACATACAAGGTGAGTGATAAATAAAACTTCCACTCATATACACCACTGAGACTCTGGCATCGTTACAGCAGCATAATTTAGTTTAATCTCACAAACTGTCTCATTGTGCTGCTGTGAGCATTTAATGGAACAATCCATATAAAAGTGCTTAGTAAATATTCAGTGTTAGCTGTTCTTATAATTATTTCACTTAAAAACATATAAACAAAAATATGCTATTTGGATGGAAAACAGCCATAAAACTTTCCCTTCTACACTTCATACATTTCAATACATAAGGTGGTTTTGAGTTTGGGCTTTGGAGCCAGACTGCTTAGGCTGGACCCCAGCTCTACCTCTTCCTAAGTATAATGTGGGACAAATCCTTTCTCACATTTTGTGAGTTTCTTATCTGAGAAACAGAAATTATAATAGTGACCACCTCACAAGGCTGTTATAAGAACTAAATGAAGAGTCTGAGTAAAGTACATACAACATGAGGCATATTCTTTAATACTCAAGAAATTCTCTTGGGTGAATTATAAAAACTTGAATTCCTAGTGACAGTGGGGACATTACCTAGGCAGGTGCAGAAATGCATGAGGACTGGAACCGAACAAGACCAACACAGAACTTAGGAATTAGAGCTCTGGCTTCCAGATAAGACAGGAACCACTTAAAACAGTGAAATACTGAAATCGAAATTGTTTGGGATAGATTCTCTTTCATAGGTGCTGTCACTTCTAGAATGACACAAGGCATTAACAATATGGTAGTATCTAGTCTTAGAGTGTGAAAATTTGATTATATAATAGAGAAATGAGTTTAATAGCTTAAACATAACACAAAGAGTGAAGCATATTGAAATTCTGATCCTTTTTTTCCTTATGAAAACTTGATATTTCAAAAATTTTCTTTAAGTATATACTCCTCTAAGAAGTATAACATACACTACTAATCTTTATAAAACATAACATTAGGGAAGAGATAGTGAAGATCATTCCCTAAGACGAGTCTTTATTATATAGGATCTCTTGGATATCAGTCATCTGAAGGATGGACTTGCTCCAAAGGGGCAAAAAATATACTTACCTTCTAATGCTCTGGCATCATTTTTAAAAACTTGTTGTCTGGTTCTGTGCAGTGTTTTAAAGAGCTGTAAAACCTATCAAGAAAATCAGAATTCAGACCTCAGAAAAAAAAAAATTCATTTTACACATTATAAGAATTAAACATTATTTCTTTTGTTGTTTCTTAAATCATTTTTCAAAATAGCTGATGAAAACCAGAGTTTGCCAAAAATAATTTTACCTTGGTTATTTATCTTTAAATTAAAAAAAAAATTAGCTTTACTTACAAAAATAATACAAAATTCTTTGAAATAAAACAATACAAGGATGGGTAAAAGTTAAAAAGCCCCTTGCTAAGGTAAACAACTTTACCAGTCTAGTATGCATTGTTATCATTTTCTTAACATATTGAGAGGCCTTCATCTGCTCTTAAAGTCATATACACATATATACAAACTCATGAACTTATTACATCTTAAAAAGCAAAGAAGGAAGATGTTTCAGATAATTTAAGCAAGTTTGTGATTTCTCAAAAGATAAGTATAATGCTGAGGCTTTTGAATATTCTAAGACTGTGCTTAAAAAAAAATGGAGAGAAGAGCCTGGCATTTTGGTAGAAGGTTGTGAAAAGGCTTTAGTAATAGGCTGAGACCATCTCACACGTATTAAGTCCAAAGAAGTACTCAATATTCTCCAAATATTGTTTTCTCCTGTCTTCCAAATTTCACTTATGAAAGATACTGAATTTCTCAAGCCAGAAATCCCTAGGTTATTCTTTAAATCTACCTTATTCTTCATATGTAAATTTTAGGATGTCTAATCTTTTGTATACTCTCCATATGCCCAAACTCTAAGTTCAGATGTTCTCCATCTTTTGCCTAGACTAATTATAAATATTTGTCACTCTACAACCATTCCCTCCTTCCCTACTGTCTATTCACTAGATAATAATACCTAACATTCTAACATTTACTGAGTATATCCTGTGTGCTAGGCACTGTTTTAATTATTTTATATATTTTGGAAAACCTATAACATCAAAGGCAGACACCAAAACAGAAACAAGAAATGAGGAGCAGAAAATGAAAATAAAACAAAAACCAAACAACTACAACAAACTCCTCAGAAATACAAGTTATTGCAAACATAGAATAATAACAACCACAAAAAGTTAAATTTAAAAAGGAGCATTCAGAAAACTCCCCAAAGCTCTTGGTTATCAAATGGGTGATAACAAAGATTTAAGTTAAGAAAAATTGGCCAGAAAGTAGAATAAAAATTTAGAGATAAAAACTGAAGAAAGAAAAGGTAAGAAAATTAAGGGTGTAGTCGAGGTGACCCAACAGTTAAATTAATAGGATCTCCAACAAGAGATAACAGAGAAAATAGAAATTAAAAGAGGACTAAATCAAGAAAAATTCACCAAGGCACATGAGTAACTAGGGCGCCATCAAGTGCCCAACACAAATCCCATACCACAGCATATCAAGATTTAAGTTCAATACAATGTTCATAAAAAGAAAAATCTCAGAAAAACAGTTTACATATATAAAGGATAGAAAATCAGAATGGCATCTGACTTCTAAATAGCATCACTATGAGAAGATAAATCATGTTTTTAAAAAATATATATTATTTTTTATTTTTCAATTACAGTTGACATTCAATATTAGTTTCAGGTGTATAGCCTAATGGTTAGACATTTATATAACTTACTAAGTGATATGTCTAGTACCCGCCTGACTCTATATATAGTTATTATAACATTATTGACTTTATTTCCTATGCTATACTTTACATTCCCGTGACTATTGTCTAGTACCCGCCTGACTCTATACATAGTTATTATAATATTATTGACTTTATTTCCTATGCTATACTTTTCATTCCCGTGACTATTTGTAACTGCCAATTTGTACTTCTTAATCCCTTCACCTTTTTCAGCCAGCCCTCCCACCCTCAATCTGGCAACCATCAGTTTTTCCTCTGTATCTATGAGTCCATTTCTTTTCATTTATTTTATTTTTTAGATTCTACATGTAAGTGAAATCATATGGTATTTGTTTTTCTCTGTCGAATTTATTTCACTTAGCATAATTCCCTCTAGGTCCATTCATGTTGTTGCAAATGGTAAGATTTCATTCTTTTTTAAGGTTGACCAATATCTTCAAGTTTTGAAAAAAAAAAATCCAGCTTAGAACACCATGCCAAAATATCACCTAACTACAAGGGCAAATAGACATTGTCAGAAATGCAAAGTCTCTTATATGCCATATACCCTTTCTTGGAATTCTATAGAAGAATGTGCTCCACCAAGAGATAAACCACAAAAGAAAAAAACATGGGAACCAGGAAGACAAGTGATCCAACACAACAGAGGCAGACATGATGTGGACAAATACAGGTTAGCCTTTGTGCAATCAGCTGAGAAAGCAACTAGTCTACGCTATAGGAAAAGGCTCAATTGCTCCAGAAAAGATGTTACTAGGGAAAAAATAAAACTGGTATACTTTGGTTTTGTTCAGAGTTTAGAAACAGATATGTAGGAAACTAACCAATGATAAAAACAAGGTAGTTATTAATTTCAAGAAAAACTAACTAGAAAGTAAAGGCAATGTAATTCTATATTTATATTAGGAGGAATGAGCTGTGGATATGTTTTATACAGTCAAATAATATCAGAGATGAAAACTGGTTCACTAAAACTTGTATAGAGAAACAGGGTGTAAGGGGAAGCTTAGTCCTCAGCTTCCAGTTAAAATTCAACAACATCTCCAGAAAAAAAATAAATAGCAGTTTAAACATGTTTAGAAACATAGAATATCAGAAGAAATATCTAAAATGATTAAAAGCTCATCTCTGGGGAGCAGGAATTAGGAGTATGTAGAAGGAAGTAGACATCTACTGGTTTCTGTGTAACACTATTTCTTAAACTTTAAATATTTATCACCTTAAAAACTAAAAATTTTATTTTAAAGAGAAAGGACACTATCGAAAAAGAGAAAAGACATCCTACAAAATGAGAGAAAATATTTGCAAATCATGTCTGATAAGAGGCTAGTTCTAGAATATATAAAAAAAATTTTACAATTCAACTATAAACAAAATTTTTTTTAAATAGGCAAAGGATCTGAATAGACATTTCTCCAAAGGAGACAAATAGCTATTAAGGCCACTTGGGAAATACAAATTTAAATCGCAGTGATACTACTGCCCTCCAGTTAGATAGCTATAGTCAAAAAGATAGTCCATAACAAATGTTGGCAGGGATGTGGAAATACTGGAACTTACACATTGTTGGTGGGAAAAATGGTGTAGCTGCTTTGGAAAACTGTTTGGCAGTTACTAAAAATTAAACATAGACTTATCATATGAGCCAGCAATTGCACATGTAGGCATATACCCAAGAAAAATGAAAACATGTATTCACACAAAAACTTATACATGAATGTCCATAGTATTATTATTCATAGCTGTCAGAAAGTAGAAACAACCCAAATGTCCATCAACTCATTTGGGTAAATAGAATGTGGTATATACATACTGTTATGGCTTGAATTGTGTTAAGACATGTGGAAGTCCTACTTCCCAGTACCTGTAAATGTGATCTTATTTGAAAATAGGATCTTTGCAGATGTAATCGGGATAAAGTCATCATTACTGCCTTGGCACTATTAGAGCTAATATGACCTTGGAGTTAATAAATTTTTATTAAAAATCAGAAAAGTATGTCATAGATTGTCTTTTCTTCCTCATTTACTTACATTGATTGGACAAATTTATGGAATGTATATAGAAAATGTATTCTGTAGTCAGATCAGTTGGAATCTGACATTGCCACTTATTGTAAGCTTGGATAAGTTACTTAGCCTTTGCCTAATTTTTTTTTTTTTAATAATGAGCTAATTTTAAGGGTGTATAGCATAATTTCTGTACTAGTTTTCCTGTAGTCATTACTTACCTATCATTTCAAAGTCTGGGGTTATACGCCCTTCCTTAGTACATCCACAGCTTTGGGCACCTGTTACATTATGTTAATTAAATGCTTACTTGCTGTTACTTCCTCAAAGGCTTCTTGGTCACCTTTGTATCCTCCACACTTAGTATAAGTGTTTTCTATACATGGTAGACCTTGATAAAAGTGTTTCTGGAATGAATCCTTTCATTTGTATTCAAGTTTTCTAAACAACTTGCCACTTCAAGGATTTCCATATGCTTGTTACTTCCTCTTTCTAGAATACTTTTTCTCTCTTCTCCTTGCTAATTCCTAACCAAACTTCAGGTCTCAAAATAACTTTCATGAGTTATATGCTCATAAGATACGCTTATTTTTAATTCAAAGCACTTAATACAACTTAAGTAATTGTTAAAAATCTACCTACTTGCTAGACTTCTTTATGAAGGAAAAGGTCTATTTATGGTTGTATTCACTATATCTACACAATATAGGGTAAATGTTGCCTGTTAGGTATTACTAATACTATTATGGACATTCAATAAATGTTTTGAATGAATAAACATTTACAATTCTGTTTGTATTGGCGCCGTGACACATATTAAAATGTACTGAGAACACCAAGTTCAGTAGTACATGCGGCACGGGCTTGGTGGCATCCAATTACTGCCAACCCTAAGCATTGCTTTTCCTCACTCTATTGCAGCAGGCTCGTTTCCTTCTTTCCATGCCTTTGTTTCAGCTAGCGACAGGGACAGGTCCCAACCAGCCATACTGATGGTATTTAAGGTTAGGAATGGCTGGTCGCTGAGAATTGTGCACCACCCAGGAACACAGTTTGACGTGAGACTTGTGCCCCAGTTTGACGATAAATGAATCTGAGACCAGGTCTTTAGGGATGTGACCCCAGAGAGGCCATCGCTTCCCAAGCTCATTCAGAGCACTCGGGTCTCACGGGTCTCTGCTCTGTGTCGCTGAGTGCTCCTTTTGGCAAGTAAATTTGCCGGGGCTCGGTTACTTTCTTTCCTACACTTCTGTGTTCCTTCCGGTTATCTGACTGCACTTTCGCCTCATCGGATGGTTGGAGCGCAGGCCTGCCTTTGGCGTCTCGTACACTTTCCAAGGAAGACGAATGGATCCCTCAGACAAATACTCGGTGGGGAGATGAAACGCGGGCAGAATTCAAGTCGCAGGCTTGCACCACAGAACATACTCGGTACCCCGGTAGACTAGAATTAGGAACCACTGATGCCTCACTCCCTCTCTCCTCCCTCCTTTGCACCTGCACAAACCCTCCACCCTTCGTGGTTGGTCACCAGGCTCCTCAGGGACAACGGCCACATCCTCGGTAGAGGGCCTTATGTCCAGCTACAGAGACTCCAGGCAACCTAAGCCAGGCGCTCTGACCCTCCAGGTCGGCATCGAACCCACCCCACGCCCTGTCACCTTGGCCGCCTGACTCATAGCTGTCCTCACCGCGGGTACCTCTCAAGCGGTCTAATCGCCGGGTCTCTGGACAACCAATCATTGCCTGGCGTGCGCTGTCCGACTCCCGTAACCACGTTTCCAACGCCCGGCAACCAATCATCACGCAACATCTCCTTCGAAGCCCCGCCTACCGCGGAGGGACGTGGGAAAGAAGTTTGTGACGCGGTGCCCTATGGGAAAACCGCGAGAAGCCGCCAAGACCAAGTATTGTAAAGAGAACGGAAATCACACGAACGCCATGTTAGTTAGGGGCAGAGTCACTTCCGGTTTTTCTGTGGCACCTCTGGTGGCGGAGAGTGGGTCAACTTTTAAGGGATGGCTTCGACACCTACACGCTAGGTCCTGTTTGGGGGTTGGGCTTATCTATTAAAGAACCCTTATTTTAACGTTTCCTAGTTGCAAAAGTGCATTAGTAAGAGCCATGCTCTAACAACTGCAGCGGACATTTGATTGGACCGCTGATTCCCAAAAGTGCTATGCATACATTCTGTCATTTAATTCCCCCAGAAGGTGAGGTTGAATTACTTGCTGAAGACCACAGGGCTAGTAAGTGGAGGTCTGAGATACATACCCGTATGCCAGACCTCAAAGCCTTGTCTTACCCTCCACACATGCTGACTGCTCGACTTGCCCTACTCCTTGGTTTTGCTGATCAAGAAGTCAGATAGTTTATTGGCAGCATCACGACCATAAACAACCATAACGCACTTCTTTAAGTACATTTTAACATATGACCTTGCAAACATCCCCCAAAATCTCAACAATTGCTTGCTTTTCCTACTCGCACAAACTTTCCAGTTAATTTTTAAGTAAATTTGACTATTAGGAATGAAAGATTTGAACCAAGATCCTATACCATCTCTGTGATTTATGGCATTTTAAAGAACATTGTAAGTCACTATGAGATTAGCAAGATAATGATTGACTTTGCTGTTTTATTAAAATGCATTAGATTTGCAAGGAGTATTTAACATAATTGAGCAATTAAATTAAATATACTAGGTACTGTTTTTTATCCAGGACACAATTATATGATCTTGTGACATTGCAATGTAGTGCCTTCTGATTGCTAATGATTAAAAGATGCTTATTTTAATTTCCAGCTTAGTAACACAGCCCAATTTCCTGAAAGTTCATAATTTATTTTTATTTCTGGCTAACTACGGTCCTGTATTCAGTTAACCAAAACCCCTCTGACAATATTTGAAAGTACAGTTCCCATAGTGCCCAAATCAGTTCAGTCCTGAAGCTTTTCTCTTATGTAAATCAATATGGTTCCTTCAGCTGTTCCAGAAATGAAAGGACTATTCTTGTTTTTCTGGGAATATGGCCTGGTTTGTTGGCATTTCAAAGTGTGGGGCCCAGAACTGAACAGGAAATTCCAACATGTTCATCATATAAGTTCATGGAGCTATGCACTAGGCAGAATAATGGCCTACAAAAGATGCCCCTGTTTAAATCGTAGGAACTTCTAAATGTGCCTCTTTTTATATGACAAGAGGTTCTTTGCAGGTGTGATTAAATTAAGGATTTCGAGATGAGAAGATTATCCTGGATTGTCCGATGGGCCCGATGTAATCACAAGGACCCTTATGAGTGGAAGAGGGAAGCAGAGTGAGAATACCACCTGCTGCTGGCTTTGAAAATGGAGGAAGGGGCCACAAGCCAAGGAATGCAGGTGGCCTCTAGGAGCTGCAGATGGCAAGAGAACCATTCTCTCATAGACCCTCTGGAAGGAATGCAGCTATGCTGACACAAAGGTTTTACCAGTGAAACTCAATTTGGATTTCTGACTTCCAGGATGCAATCTGCTTGTGGCTTCTTCCATGTTCAAAGCCAACAGTATAGCATCTTCAATTTCTGATTTTCACCTCTCCTTCCACGATTATAGCTCATTCTCTGACTCTCACTCTCCTGTGTCCTTCTCTTACTTATAATGAACCGTGGGATTATATATTGGGCCCATCTGGATAATTCAGGTATCTCCCTACCTCAAGATCCTTAATTACACCTGCAAAACCCTTTACCATTTAAAACATTCACAGACTCCAGAGATTAGATTATGGGCATCTTCTGCTTACCACAGCCAGCTTATAGATATGGAATACTACAAGAGGAGGTTTTTTATTTGTTGTGGAGAAAGTAAAAATAAATTTGAAGTGTCTAGTAGACATCCAAATGGAGGTGATGAGTGAGCAATAATATATACCATAGACCAATCTACAACCTATAGATGATAAACCCTCAGAGATAGGGGACCTAATATTTATTTTCCAAACTAGTACATATTTTTTCTTTTTAACTTTTTGACAATTTCAGTATTACAGAAAAGTTGCAAGAATATAGAATTTGAATATACCTTTCACTTAGATTTCTCAAATGTTAACATTTTACTACTATTGCTTTATCCTTTTCTATTTCTCTACTTGTCTCTATATGGAAGTATTTTTTAGTATCTCAGAGTTGTAGACATGATACCCCTATACTCCCAAATACTTCAGTGAGTTGTTTCCTACAAAGACATTCTCTTACATCAGTGGTTCTCAAAGTATGGTTCCAGGGCCAGCAGCAACTGCATCACCTGGAAACATGTTAGAAACGTAAGTTATAGCCTCTACCCCCATAGATCAATTGACTTTGATAATTTTGCTGTGGATATGAAGAAAATAACATGACTTTCAAAACTATTATCTAATTTATAGGCATTATTTAGATTTCACCAGTTGTCCCAGTAACATCTTTGACAGCAAAACTACCAAATGGGACACCTTTGATATTAAAAGGGGCCACTATCAGTAATTTTACCAAAACGAAGTGGTAAAATATAATCATATAGGGTAGTACAAGAGGTATAGTTAATTTTTCTTAGTACACTGGAGATTGCTAGCTAGAGAAGACGGCCCAGAAGAGTATCCATTGAGAGGCCTGACACAGGAGACTCACTATGAAGGAGAAACAGCATCCAGAGAAGTGAGAGAGTGAAGATCACCGCTCAAAAGAGGGAATCGTCAACAGCCGCCAAAGATCTCAAGAGGTCTAGCGTGATGAGAACTGGAATTGCCTACACGATTCTTAGAGCACCTTAGTGATCTTGACAAGAAGAAAATGGGCTCAAAAAGAAAAAAAAAGATGAGAAAGTGGACAAAATATATATAAAGGTCTTAAAAAGGAGCAACAATGAGGGGGAACGTGGAGTTAAGGAAGGTTTTGTTCCTTTAAGGTGGGGTATATTACATTGTTGATTATTGCTGAGAAAAATTCATTGCATAACAGTCTAGGGAGGTTCACAAACTACGGATGCCTGGGTCTCACCTCCAGAGAGTCTGATTTAATTGATCTGGAATGCGACCAGGTTCACCGGGATGTTTTAAAAGCCCTCCAGGTGACTTTAATACGTAGTCAAGGCTGAGAACCACTGGTAGAAGGAGTAAAAATGATGCTAGGAGAGCTTTCATGCTGGAGCCAAGACCTAAAGTAGCTGAGAAATGAAAGTGTCACGTGTCTCAGCCAGCAAACGTGGCCAGCACTGCTTGATCAAATCTTTTCCGTTACAGTATCCGATTTTTTCTACAACGGTCGACAAAGCAAGTGAAGAACGGCTTATACCACTAACTCCACTCGTCGAAAGACAAAAAAGGGAAAAAGAAAAACGACCCTGGTGCAGCAACTCGGGTCCGGGGATCAGGAACCTCCCTTACATCCGCCGTACCCGCAGCTCAGGTCGCCAGTGCGCACGCGCAGGACAGCGCGCCCTCGAGAGCAGTGGTCCCAGCGCAGGCTTGGCCGCGCGCTCCCGCCCTCTGCCCGCCCCCCGGCTCCTTCCTTCTCCCAGTTTCTGCGCCGGCGGCGGTGCGGGAGGGAGGCGGCGATGGCCGATGAGATCGCTAAGGCTCAGGCCGCCCGGCCTGGTGGTGACACAATCTTCGAGAAGATCATTCGCAAGGAAATCCCAGCCAAAATCATTTTCGAGGATGACCAGGTAGGCACTTGGGGCCGCCTCGCTGGTAGACACGCCAGTTTCCCGTGGAGGGAAGGGAAGGGAAGGGTCGGGCGGCGCCGCGGGCAGAGGACGCGACGGGCCGG